CTTTTGTTTAATCTTTGTTTGCTGAAACTAAAGTTAAGTCATTGAAAAAAAATACTAGTTATTTAATTTCACCACTATGACTTTTTAATTGTTGTGATCATTTGAATAGATATGGTCCATTAGCAATTATTAAAATTGAGCTTTATTTTTTATGAAAGAAATGAAATAGCAAAAAATTATTAAAAATAAAGCATCTCAGAAGAATAAATATTAATGGAAAAATTCTTTGAAATTCTACACACAGCAGCTAAATATTTATAAATAAATAGCAATTTAAATAATCAATACTTAAGTTTAGAATTTTACTATGCTAATTAATTTAAGTTTCTCAAAGTATATAAAGTTATTATAATAAATCAATATTCCTGAATCTACCTTATTTTAATGAATTATTTATGTAAATGGCCTTATATTACTATTTTAGTATTATGGAGTTGTGATCCAAGATTTGTTGGACATTTGGGCAACTGCATAAACATAGTAATTGTTCATCTGGCTGCTTATTTTGTCTAAATAGTGTAACATGTGATACATGCTAGCCAAAATTTTATCGATATTATTAAACTTTTTTTGGAATGGTTACTTATAGATGTAGGCTTGTTAGAATGGATGTGAAATTTGTAGCAATTTAAGTAACTACTCAACTTTTCTTCCAAAGTTTTATATATCTGGCTCAAGTTGCTAAGCTTCCCCTAGTTAGTGTGCTACATGCACATCCAACACTGTATTGATGTTGACAAAATATTTAAATTAATAATCTATCTTAAATTTTACATATATAATATGTTAAACTTGTGTGAATCCATATTCTATTATTGGAACCAATTGATCAGCTTGTGATAATTCTTGCAAAACATGTCTAAATTTTATTAGGGCTTGTGAATCATGTGATGTTTGAAAATACCTTTCGAATTCATAATGTCTTCCTTGCTCGTCCCCATGTTCTGCTTGTGTTAATAATCCAAATGATTGTATTGCATGTATTGACAATAATCAAACAGCAGACAATTTTTAATGTGTGTGCAATGATGGATATTATAGAGATGGATCAAATTAATGTTAGAAATTTCACATTACCATGTTCAAAATGTGAGAATAATCCATCTGGTTGTACCGAATGTATCTCTAATAAATTTTTGCAATTCAAATACAACTTCAAATCTAAAGGCCTTATTAAATGAATAGTAATGATTCAGTAATTATATTAGAAATAAAGAAATAAAGAAATTTTTAATTGACAACAGTGAATAAACAGATGCAATTAGAGATGATTATCAATTCCCCCATTCAAAAAAAAAATAATCTAAATCAAATTTATTAAAGATTTTATTCTTATATTTAATTCCATTGATGATAGGGATTGGATTTGCTGAATAAGAACTCTAAACAAGAAATATTCAAAATGAATAATTAGCTTATTAAATAAAAGAAGTAATATATTAAATAAACACGTAGATGAATGATGAATTAAAGAAATTAGAATCTGGTTTAATAATTTTAAAATAAGATCTCTAGATAAAAAATATTCAATATGAATAATTAAAAATACTATTATAAGAATTAGAAAAACAACATTCATTTTAAAATTAATTCTTAGTTGATTAGACAAAAGAAGTAAATTATTAAGTTAATTTTATTTTCTAATAATTATGGGAATGATCTTTACATTATATTAAAAACATTTAGATCTAAATTTATCCTTAACTTTTAACATTTTCACCTATTTATAAACATGATAAGATCTAAATAAGTGATAATGAAAAGATTGCTGATTTTGTTAGTGGTACATGGGGTTATTGTGTGTGTGAACAAGTTATAAGACTGGTAAAATACGCTTTGCATTCGAAATGTTTAATTATAATTTATCATATTTTTTAAAAGAAAGCCCTGCAACATATTTCCATCATTCTAATAATACTCAAGGAAATGCATTTAAATTCTAAGTTAATGATATAGTAATAATAGAAGTGAGTGTAGAACAGAAATATATAAAATGGAGTAAATAGAATTTTTAAGATTATCTAGTAAATATCAAATTATATTTAGATCACCGAAATTGATACATCTTAAGATTTGTATCCATGTGCATATATGTATGATGCAAAAGTGAGAATCAAAGATATATCATGATAAATAAGAACATAATTACATTATTATATCTAATATATTTCATGGTATGAATAATAAAATTAGATGTTAAATTATTGAATTATTCCTTAAAAATATATAGCCATAGCCATTCTACAATGAATAATTATTATAAAATCTGATCTTGATTGATTTAAATGATAAATCTAAAAGTTTCCCTAATAATTTATTTTGATTGGCATGATTCTTAAGAAAATGAAGAAGGAAGTCAAAGGATTTATTTCTTTTATGATTATTATGCCAATTTCTAATAATCCTTTACACAGAGAACCTTAGAACTTTTTAAAATAGTATTAATAATTATTTTATAAGAAATGAATGAAATTGATTATGAGGCTAATTCAACAAACCAAGATGAATACAATGAATAATTTTGATAAGATATGTTTTGCCCATATCGAAGACAGATCGGCTGTATTGTCTTTTTAGAAGCTCATTTAGAATTAAGTATCATATTCATAGAAATAAAATAGGGATAGAGGATGCAAAGCTAAGAGAAAACATATAAAACTATATTTGTTTTTGTTGAAAAGAAAATAAAAATGATATATGACTGAGATGCTGGATCGAAAGCATGAACACAAACACAAATTAATTTTAACATATGCTGAGGAATTCTTCATAAAGTTTTTGCCTATCTTATATGAGTTGACTCTTATATAAGAGAATTGGAGGAAAAAAAATAATCAGATGAAAATTGGAGCAAATTATGGAATCATCATCACAATCTGTCCATCTACAACTAGCATCAGCATTATCATCAGCAGTAAAATCATTCCAAAGTGTATTTTTGAAACCATTACAGAAAATAGCAGGTGATAAGCTTTTCTTGCTGCATAAATAACTCCAGTTTAGTTTACATCCTAAAATTGCTATTAAAACACAATCAGCATAGAAATATCTGCTTTTATTTTTGTATATGCTATTCTAGCATAGTATGCTCTTGAATATAATTTAAAAGTAAAAAGAGAAAATTAAATACTTTCAACTGATATGATCCTAAATGACATTTTGATTATAATGTTGTTGATACAAGAATTACAAGGAGCAAACGTTTGATAGCAGAAGGCCAAACAGGGGCAGCAACTACATCAAAGCAAAATTTACAGTAAGAGTTCCTGAAATCTATGCGTATTGTTTAACAAATCCTAATTAATTAACATAGAGCTGAGTAGTAGAAGCTAATTTTATTTAATTCCATTTAATTAATAAAAAATACTTGCTGTCATATTGGTAATTAAACTTATAATTAACATAGAGTTTTTTCCAGATTACTACTACAAATTGTAAATTGCTGCATTTTTTTCACCTACATGGATAAATGCTTGAACTTGTTAAATTTACATGGAAACTATAGTGCTTAAAACTTATATCCATAAAAAAATTTTTGGAGTACTTGAATTATCAAACATTAGTTTAATTCATGAAAGCATATAAAATTTAAACTATTACTAGCATCTATGTAAGAAATGCAGAATGTTAATTTATGACAACTTACAGTATCTTCATTTAATTATCCCGCTTACACAAGTTTAATCTTCAACCATTCCAGCAATTTTAGCTCATTCTTAATTCCCTCAAGCACCTGGTCTAAAAATGTTTTTTATTTGCTTTAAATGCATAATATTAGGAGTAGCAAAATAATCTGTAAATGGTGCTGAATCATCAATACAATCCCTTCCTTTTATTACACTTTCAATTAAATAATTATCTCAATATATTAGATTTTTGCAAATAGTTATTGTTTCATATTTGAACTGAAACGACATAATTCACCAACATATTATTTTTATTTTATTTAAATCCAACTTTCTATGTATTACATTTAGTATCAGTCGTTGCTTTTTTAATTATATTTTCTAGCTCTTCTTCTATAATCTGTAGTATTACAAACAAATTCTATCTGTACAAATATTTTTGAAGCTTTCCAATCATATGATGAATAAATACTCCTTTTTCTATCTTTACTTATCTAGTTTAGTATCAAGTACAAGTCTTTGAAGTACTTAGTAAAGATACAGGACCTGTGCACATTTAATAATTTGCATTAGAATTGAATCGCAAGTTCAATCTTATTCAAGTTTCTTTATAATGGTATCGATATATCTTGTATTTATTTTCTTGTAATTCTTGCAAGCTGAATGAGAGTAAGGGAATCATCGAAACCTATATTGAATGTTTCTCCATCTTAGTTAGAACGAATAGACTTTTTTATTGATACACTTGAATAGTCTTTCTAAACTTGGTACAAATTCGCATTATTCTATATTTCAATGCAACTTATTCGATGTATATGTAACTCCATTTGTTACGCGGATAGAAAATATCTCATCAATATGAATGAGCAGCCTTAAGATATGCACAGCATTGTAGAAATTATCCTTAAATTCTCTCATTATATATATGCTTAATCTTTATATAATTTCCCAAAACTTAATTTAATTTCTATTGAAACATTACTTTGCTTAAAAACTACCATATTTTAAAGATGTGTAAATAGGATCTATTAAAGAATTCAATAAACTAAAATAAAAATGATATTGCTGTAAATCAATTACTTTTATGAAAAACTTAAAATCATTATCACATCATCTACTGCAATTAAAATTGCTAATAACAAAATTCAAAATATATAAAAATCAGGTAATCCTGTTTAAATTAATACATTTTTTGATATGAATGGATTTTAATATAATAAGAAATGCCTAATTCAAAAAATATTATAAAAATAATATTTATAAATTAAACTGTTATATGCAAATTAATCCAAGAAAAATTTTAATATTGTAGATTATTCTGATACCTATAGGTCTCTTCGAATAAATATCATCTTATTATTCAATTATTCAAATTAACTCAATAAAGACTACACAATCAGTATATCAGTGGAATTTTAGGTATACTCCAAACTTTTTAAGCGCTCTCATATCAAAGACTTAATTGAAAAGGTATTATATTATTAATGATGAATATCTAGAGGACTTAAAAAAATTCCATTCTAAAAATAATCTTGAAAAGAACTATTATTAAAAATATTAACCTCAAGTCATAGGCAAATAATAGATTAATTTAAACCAACACTAAGACTTTCATACATGCATGAGAAAATAGCTATTACTATGCTAAGTTATCAGAATACTATAATGGTTGAAGGAATGATTAAAAATTAATTAGGGTTGCTAATTAAATAATTGAGTAAAAATGATAATTTTGATCAATAAAATAAATGCCGTATTTTTTGATTGATTTTAGAAAATAACAATGTATTAGTCATTAAATATGAATCAAAGAATTGGCATATAGATCAAAAAGAAAGAAAATAAATAAATTATAAGAATATATTTTTGAAAAACTACCTAATTGCATTTTAATGTTATCGTAATCGTGATCCCTACGCAGCTATAAAGGCTCATTTATTATAAGTTGCATTCAGTACATAAATGAATGGACCATTGATAATAGGACTTAGCGATACTAATAATGATACAAACTACATTTATTAATATCCATTTTACTCCTAGAAAAAGTAGTTTGAGTTTTACAAAAAGAAGGATATAGAATTATTTAATATTCTGAGGGATACTCAAGAAAAATAAATAAAATTTCTATCGATTAGAAACTTAAATATTAGTTTAANATTAAAGTTACATCTTACAAAATTAGCGCCAATCAATGTAGTATTTTTGATTCTGATATCTTCAAGGCTTTGGTTGGAAAGATCAACCTTCATCTATACCAATAAATTTAGTGCATTAGATCCACTTTAAATAAATTTTTCATCAATACTAGTTAGTTGTACTAAAAATTTAAGAAAATTTACGATTGTCTTATTTCCTGAAATCTTCTTAATGAGATGGAGTTTTTCCTTTTCATAACTTTCTTGAGTATAATCGTTTTTGTTAAAGGGATGATCTAAAATATTTCTCACAACATTAATGATCTTTTGAATTGTCTTTTTAATATCACTGATTTTCACTTGCAAATAGCCAAATGATTCATATAGCTAGAAATTGAATGGTTTTTATATAAATCCTAGGATATCCGACATCTTCCCTTTTCTCACCCCTTCAAGAATCCCATTTAATATTGATTCATCGATATCTTGAGTTGAGACTAAAATTTCATATAGATCCTGTTTCTTTTAGTACTCTTCATCTTCCTCTAGAATCTTTTACACTTCTTTCTCTAGACTTTAACTAAAGGTAGTTATTTCTGATTCCAACTAATTCTTAATCTTATCCAACTCCATCATATATGAATTCTTTTCATTATTCCAAGCTTTTAATTTTGACCCTTCTATAATTGAGACCATTTTTTCTAAATCAGTATATGAGGATTCGGCAAGATTTGTGTTTTCATTGATAAGATTAATGTATGATTAGTTTTCCTGTTCAATCCAATCAAAAATGGCTTTGATTGATTTCGACATGTCTAACCAAATTTTTTTCAACATCATTTCCATTTGAGTTAGCAAAGATTTAAAAGCCATTCTCTATTTTGTTAGATCGGATGATTTTTGGTCCAGTTTATATTCAATCAATTTATTGATAAACATTGCTTTAAAAAGGTTAATTGGAATTGTATATTCCTATCCCACTCCATGTTAACATTGACATTCAGCACATAGTTTCCTCTAACATTTACACTTATGAGGGGCTGTACAAATAAACAAGACTTGATTTAGAGCATGATAAGTGCACTACATTGTTTTTTTTATGAAAATTAATGAATTTTTATTACTTGTATATTAAATTATATATTATAGATCAAAAATATCTTATGCACTAAATTCAAGACAAAAAATAAATCTGGCAGATATTAGGATTTGTTTGTTATAGAGGTTTAATTAACAAATTTAAAATCAAATAATCTTTTGCAAAGCCGAAAACTATAAGAATATAGAATAAATAAATCACTAAATTGTAAAAATTTACATAATATAATAATCGATACATTAGATTTAAAACTTGCTTTATTGAAAACCCAAAGTAAAGACTTTTCAATATATAAAATATCAATATTATGAAAATAACTTAATATATAAAAATTTTTGAAACAAAGTATTTTCTCGCGATAATCATATAATGTTTAGAGAAAAATGCTTTTGTATCTGAAACGAATGAACTGTAAGAACAAAATAGATAGAGTGGAAAAAATAAACTTAAATGATAGTGAATATGTCCGATCAGTAGGGAACTATTTTCGTAATTCAATTATATTCAATTGCTAGCCTCAAAGTTATCTTAATCAACACTTATATAATTTGTAAAGCTTCTTTTCTATCTTTAGTAAGATTACT